GGGCACTCACTCGCGGAGGATTTCGGTCGCCTCCTTAGGGAGACGAACCCGAACACGCCAAGAAAGGGCCAGAGCCCTTCCCACCGCCCTGACGGCGGGAGGGTCCCGACCTGAGAGCACACCGAAATGTACAGAAAACAACGCGAGCTATAAATAGTATTTATTCATTTTTCTATGTACTGGAGATAACATTCTTACGACTTTCTGCTTTTATAGATGTTCTGGAAACTTTGATATGTAGAGGTCTGCTAACGGAGACGTTTCTTTTCCCCTTGAGCCGGTCGAAAGTCTTTTCCGCCCCTTCGGCAAACCTCTCACTCGATCTCCATCGGTGCCCGGTGAGGAGCCGCTTCGCTCTCCAAGGGCTTTTCCTGGCAGTGGGAGGCAAAGCCGGGCGTCCCCACGTGCCCGCGGTCTGTACAAATCCCTTCAAGAAACACCGTTTCTGAAACGCCAAAAGCCACCAAGACACTCCACAAAGTGCGAGTGAATTGAGTGAATAAAACTCGATTTCTTTTTTATTTATTTTTTTTTTACATCCTCAGTCTATTTTTGGATCGTTTGAAGTCTTTGAAAAGTGAGGGGATGGGAGATGGGGCTAGGGAATTGCTAACATCTCCAAAGTCTCAGCTCTTTTTGCGCATGCTGGGGTTTAGAAGAGAAAAAATCAAAACCACGAGGGATTATTTTTTCTTTAAGCAACTGGAATTTTCTGATGTCCAACAGATTTGCACTGACCTATGGCTCGGGTGCCTTTAGCATTGGTTTGCCCGAGTCCCAGCAGCCAGCCTTCGGCGCATGAGCTCAAAACCCCGACGCTTTCAAAAAGAGGGGGAAAAAAAACAAAAGGCAAAAAGATGAAAAGCACAGAGAAAAAGCAAGTGGAATATCGGCACTTTGAGGCTGGCAGCTCCGGCAGGCGTTTGCCGAGAGCCCTCCCTCACCCTCTTCCAGAAACCGCCTCGGGAATCCCAGCGGAGACACGGATCTTGCTACCTTTGAGCAGGGAAGGGTGATGTCAGGCATCGGGAGGCACTGTTGGGGTTAAACAGGAGGTAGAAAATGATTGATTTTTGGTTGTCATTTAGATAGACCGAGTCTTAAGGTTTCGGCTCGGTGTAAATTATTATTTTTTCGGTGTTGTGCCTTTCTGAGTTACCCGCTGCCTTCTGTTGGTGAAACACTGTGTGTGGGTTGCTTTTTATTTTTCTCACCTTTTTCTTTCTGTCCCAAACTAATAATTATCGGACCTTTGCACTGTTGGGATGCGCTCCGATCCAGCCTGAGGGCGAAGAGAAACGGGAACCCTCCGAAACGATGCACTAACCTGGAACGAGGCTGGAAAATCGGCCGTTGATTCCTGGCGAGCGGCCGGGACCGTCTGCGGTGGCTTTCGGTTTCTCCGGGTCCCCCCTTCGTCGGCCGAGGCGCCAAGCAGCTCTGCCAGCCTTTTCCTGGAATTCAATGATCCA